TGACAGGGGATGGATCATATGTCCCATGCAATTCTACAAAGACCCCTTCAATGAAAATTTTCCAACTGGGGTTTCTAAAAATCAGGCTCCAAAGGCGCCCCTCAGTCTTTAGAATGGAAGTGCAATCTTCACAGACACAGGTTCCATTGAAATCCGTGGGCGCTTTATCACTGAGTTCAATGGGGCCAGGATTTCACGGTGTGTCCCCCAGTATGGATTGGCTTCTCAGTGCAAGATGCAGCACTGCATGCTGGGACCTGTAGTTTTTGTAGCCTCTGCATGAAAGGTAAGGGTGGCTGCAAGCTGGTCCACTGTTTTGCAAACTGGGCATAACTGTAAGGCTCCTGGCCCCAGGGTCCTCGGTTGAACAAAATTCGTCTGCCCCCGAGTTATGTGTATGTCCAGAAACAGAGGAGCTTCAAGACTGCGCTGCTCAACTCTCCTCTTGAATTTGCAATTGAAGCCTTCCTGACTGGTGCTTAAAAGCCTCTGTAACTCGGATCACAGATGGAGCGTACACGCCACATTATTGAAGTTGAAGGGCACAGCTTAGTTTCTGGGGAATAATAGGATGAAATAATTTGATAGAGACCAGCTAGATTTTTTTTAAATGTTCTGTTCCTTCAAGGGTGCTGTTGAACATACAACATCCAACCACCCCCATAACTAACTCATTATTATGCACCAAGCGGGTGCCTCTAAAATCAAATGGGGTACAAAAGATGGGCATTTAGTGCCATTACTTTCAATAGTTTTATACAATATTTGAATCATTGGCTCTCTCCTCTTGTTTTGGAGGAATACCAAAGCTAGATGAATGTATTAGCATTAAAAGCCATTCATGGGGCCTGGCCAGGCCTGCCTACCAGATGGAGGCCCTTATGTTTTGGCATCACATCCATATGGAAGACTAATATGCAGTCCAGGAATAGAATGTGTTATTTCTCCTCTTCCTAGCAATCTCCAATCCAAAGGCTCTTTCAAGTCAAGCAAGTTCATCTGGAACTTGTACAGCA